GGGGGGGGGGGGGGGGGGGGGGGGGGGGGGGGGGGGGGGGGGGACTTTTATGAGTTTTTGTTGTGTGGTATCGCAAAGTCATCCAGATTTTATGAGTATGATGTTTGAATCAGCCTTCATGCCTATTGCTGGAAGCTTTCTCTTCCCTCCAGCTTTTTCCAATCGAATTTTAGGATGGGGTTTATCGTATTGTTTAACACCGGCCCAATTTGGTTTGTTTTTCTTTTGGGTGAAACTGACTGCCCTAGCCTCTCCTATGCAAATAAGCATTCTTGGGCGATTGTCCACACCTTCAAGTATTTATGCAAAACTGTGAAAGGAGAGATTAGCTTATTTTTAAATGGTGTGGCTCGAAACGGCACAAAAAATTTATCTGTCAAATAGAGCACATATATACTCCGTACGTTTATTGAAAAAAGACTCAGTGCAGGTTTAGTGCACTTATTCGCAATGCTTCTGCAGGATGGGCAAGATATGGACAGTAATAGTAGAACCGGTCAAAATTATAGCAGAATGAGCAAGAATGACGGTAGTAATGCGTTGAGCAGTGTATACCACCTGTTTTTATCTATTTTGTAAAATAATCAAAGGTATAATCCCAAAAAACCTGGACCAGTGGGCCTGGCGTAGTTGCGCTCGGCGTGTGGGAGCATTCTAGTAACGTCCCAACATCCAGTTCATTTATATATTTGGATTTTTTGACGAACGTCCTCTAGCAGTATTTCCACTTTTTAGTGAACCACTGAAATTTCTGCATTTCCAAAAATTTCACTTTTTCACTGTGCGTTTTTGCTGTGCAGCGCTATAGCGAAGGGGAATCCCACAGTGATAGTCCGATCGGCCTTGATATAATCAGAAATTTTCAGTTTAAAATTTGAATTCTTTTTGTAGGCTAATGCATTAATTCTTATTTCAAACCTGTCGATGATTGTCGGAGAACATTATTTTTGTTTTTGTTTGAATTTTTTCCTGCATTTTTAGATTTACGGAATTACTCAAGGACCACGAACGTAGCCGTAATCGACAACTCATGACTTACAATCCTCGCGTAGTGAATGTCAATTTTGGCGAATATTTGTGCCCGCTTTGCAAACGTCTCAGCAATGCAGTTTTGCCTGTCCTCCCTGCATTCGGACCAGATATCCTGGAAAGGTTATTTGCCAGTTACTTTTGTTTATAGTACTGTTATTTTATCTAAGAGTTATCACTCTGCGTACAGTATGGGCCGGATGAGCTCTTCTGTGCCAGTAAAATTAAGACTTATGCATCACTCCCAGTGATGGTTTTCCATCACTTACGTCAAGCTTAGTTTTGCAATCGTATTTCTTCTGGAAGCGTAGCTCTTTCCCTTCTTGCTTTCATCCTTCTGCATTCCTCTTAATGGCATTTGTTATTATATTTGTGTTTTTTTGCGACCGGCTTATCGCTTTTTCCAGAACTGAAAAGCAATACGTTGAGTTTGATGATTGGATAAACAGAGTGAGCGAAATGTTCTGCTTCACATCTACCAAAACT